CCAAATCAAAGCCATTGAGGGAATACATGAAGTATTAACCAGCAAGAAACAGGAACAAAAATTGACAGCCGAGGTTCATCTCACGATCCTCCGACAGGTGCCACAAATTCTTCAACATGCTCAAAAAGGACAATAGGATCCAGTAGAATTCAGAATGCATCGAGGCCTTAAGAGAACTAAAGGCATACTTGTCCTCGCCACCACTACTCGCCAAAGCAGAACCTGGCGAATGCCTCCTGATATATTTGGCCGTATTAGAGGTCGCGGTAAGCGTAGTGTTGGTCCATGAAAACAAAGGTACACAATCTCCAATCTATTATATTAGCAAAACCCTGGTCAACGCCAAAACAAGGTACCCCCACCTCGAAAAATTGGCATTGGCATTGGTTATAGCTTCACAAAAGCCTAGACCCTATTTTCAATGCCACCCATATCGGTGGTGATGATCTTCCCCCTATGGAGCCTCCTACATAAACCCGAACTGTCGGGAGATTGGCTAAGTGGGCCATAGAATTGAGCGAGCATGATATAACATATCAGCCGCGAACAACGATAAAATCACAGGTACTTGCCGACTTCATCGCCGATTTCACTACCAAAATAATGCCCGAGGTCGAGCAGGAAACTTCTCGTACCTCCCCTAGGATACCAAACCTATGGGTCCTATACACCGATGGTGCATCCAACGCATCAGGATCTGGACTGGGACTCGTACTCGAGGTCCCAACAAGCGAAGTCATCCACCAATCCATACGATGCCCCGATATAACTAACAATGAGGCCGAGTATGAGGTCGTAATTGTAGTACTTAAGCTATCTCTCAAATACAGATCACGACGAGTCGTCCTCATATGCTACTCACAACTCGTTGTCAACCAAGCCACAGGGACTTTCCAAATTAAAGAGTAGAGGCTACAAAAGTACCAGGCAGAAATTCATAAAATGCTGCCAGAATTTGATGAATGTCGACTCGACAAGATACCTTGAGCACAAAACATCAAGGCAGATGGCCTCGCCAAGTTAGCAGCAGCCACCAAAAACATTACAAAAGAAAACGTGGTCACCCTTCTCCACTCGTCAATAGACCAACTTGAGGTACACTCTGTAAATTTGACTTAGGACTGGCGCAACCGTATTATAACATATTTGCAAGAGGGAGTACTCCCATCAGACAAAAAGGAAGCCAAAAAGCTTTGAATGCAGGCGGCCAGGTACAACATCATAAACCACGACCTATACAAAAGAACGTTTGGGGCCCCCTTAGCGAAATGCCTAGGGCCGAACTAAACAAGATGCGTCCTCGAGGAAGTACATGAAGGTCACTGTGGTGCCCATACCGGCAACTAAACCCTCGTTAGATGCCTCATTCGGGCAAGTTATTATTGGCCCACAATGAAGAAGGAAGCTGCCGACTACGTCAAGAAGTGCGAGCAGTGCCAGAAATATACCCCTATGATACACCAAGAAGGAGAGCACCTCCACTCGGTTACATATCCATGGCCGCTCATCAAATGGGGAATGGACATTGTCGAACCCCTTCTAGCAGGGCGAGATAATGTACAATTTCTTTTGTTTTTAACTGACTATTTTTCCAAGTGTGTAGAAGCAGGTGCGTTCGCCCAAATACACGAACATGAAGTAATCACATTCATATGGAGAAACATCATATGCCGCTTCGGCATCCCTAAAGAAATCAGCTGCGATAACGGACCCTAATTCACCGAAAAAAAGACCACTGAATTCTTCAAGAAATGGCACACAAGCGAATACTCTCCATGCCATATCACCTTGCCGGTAACGTGTTACACCCTATGTTTTCATACATAAAAGTACAACATAAGTAAATTGATGAAAGCTCATAAATGAGATATTACATCGCGCATTTTCGTACGTTAAAGTTTTGTCGTAAGTTAATCAACGTATGTTTGGGAATGGGATTATTTTGAGATTATAAGTATTATGCTATTTCAAACAAGTGATGAGTAAATTCGTGAAGGTGAGACGGTAGGAAAATCGAAGAAAATGTATTTTTTCAAAGTTTGACATGTTGGGATAAAATACGGCCTGAACTAAAATACTCGATATTTATGGGCTAGTGCCATACAAGGTACCACATGACCATGATAGTAAGGTGTATAAGGTATGTTAAAAGTGGGTAGTATTTTAAGTAATTTGAGATAGTCCTTAATTATGTGGATAATTGATTAATGGTGGAGATAATTATGGTATTAAGTGGATAAGAGTTCTTTGGAGATTGCCACATGGCATAAGCATAGCCAAGATAGCAAATTATACAAAATGAGTAACTAGACAAAGTGATAACTTGTTTACACGTAAAGATTGGTTGGTCTCTTTATTGGAAAAGTATAGGACTTTGCAAAGTTAAGAAAATAACATTTTTATACCATTAAAAGAGAAATAACAATGATCCAACGTGACATCTCTCTGAAATCTTACAAGATCCAACGCGAAATTTCAAAGAGAAATGCTACAAGATCCAACGTGTTATGCTACAAGTTGGTAAAGTTTATTTCATGATATTAATCAGAGGCATAATGATCTTATGACGTACCAAGAGATTATATTAACATATTTCATATGCATTTCATGCATTTATACATTCATATTGACCCATGAACAGATGGCGTTATATATATATATATGGGAAAGGTTATGGTGTTATATACGCACCACTACCTGATCAACTGGTATACGTTGATGATTTTGCCCATAGTGGTCGAGATGATATGATGGGATGCCCTCAGAGGCTTGATGATGTTATGAACACATGTACCTATGCACGACATGACATTTATACGCATATGAATAACACTATAACTATTTCATGATTTACAGAGTTATCCACACTTATAGGTTGAGCCATTTACTCTATATTTCTTCCATGTCTTTTATGTACTTATTTATGTGCCTTATATACTCGGTACATTATTCGTACTGACGTCCCGTTTTCCTGGGGACGCTGCATTTCATGCCCGCAGGTCCCAATAGACAGGTCGAGAGTCCTCCAAGTAGGCTATCAGCTCAGCGGAAGATGTTGGTGCGCTCCGTTTGCTTTGGAGTTGCTTGTTTGGTCAGTATGATTTAGACATGTATTGTTTAGTATGGCGGGACCCTGTCCCGGCCTTTATGATAAGTATGTACTCTTAGAGGCTTGTAGACAAATGTCATGTACACATATATTTGTAAGGCATTGTCGGCTTATATTTAAAGTATATAATGGATCACATTGGCCTTATACGTCCATTTATCATATAGTTTTTATATCAGGTTGGTCATCCTATATTGGGTAATCCCCTATGTTTATTCTGGTTAGCCCATGACGGTCTGTTTTTCCCACTTGCCAATGAAAGTACAATAAGAAAGTTATGTTTTGTTGGTACTCGGTTAACTAAGGTACCGGGTGCCCGTCGCGGCCCATAGGTTGGGTCGCGACAAAGGTGGTATTAGAGTAGTTCTTTGCTAGGGAGTCTAGAAGCCGTATCTAGTAGAGTCTTGTTTATGAGTATGTCATGCACCACACTTATAAGTAGGAGGCTACAAGGTATTTAGGACTGTCACTCTTTCTTCTTACTCTAGATCGTGTGGTAGAGCTCAGTTGTAAGAACTAAACTTCCTAAACTCTATCTTATTTATAATACGACGATGCATACATCCAGAAAGATAGGTGGTAAGAGATATAGCTGTGGAGGAATTTAGTTAGAGGAAATTGAATTTTTCATGATGCTTATAATGAGTAAATGTAAGGTCTTCAGTAGATCATATGTGTACTAAGATGTGTAAGCCTCTCGATAAAGAGCCCTGAAGCAAGAATATCTATCCACCTATGGTGAAAGGAAATGAGAGATTCAGAAGGTAGATACAAGCGTCAACAAGTAAAAAGAACAAGATGAGAAGGGTACGAGGTACTCAGTTAATAAAGATTATCGGTATTTTCAACCCAGGCAGAAAAATATAAGCATTGTGAGTTACCTTCAATAGTAATAGAGGTATGTATCCACACCCATCTCAGTTATGCCCCACTGGGGGCTAACAGGTGTAGTTTAAGAAAAGGACGGGATATTAGGATCTGGCTGGGGTTAGAGTAACCCGAAATGGGGAATGTATTGTTTATGTTAGTTGACATTTCCGAAGGATATTACAAAGGTTCTAATAGACCTCCTTATGAGACTCCCAAATGGTGCACTCTAGAATATTACAATTAGATGTGAATACTAGCATGATCAAAAAATTAAGAAGATAAGCACTGAAAGCCTGAAAGGAATAATTATTACCTTGATATGGTTCGTGTCCCACAACAACAAAAAGGGGATTTAGTGGAAATAAAAAAGGGCATTGGCGGCAATAATAATAGCCGCTATATCATTTACCGGCCATTGATATTTAGCCACTAATGCCAGGGTCGGCAAAGCCTTTAGCTGTATTTCTCATAAAAGCTGGTAAAAGGCCTGACTTATTGCCGTTAAATATCATTTGCTTTAACGGTAATTATTTGCGGTAACTATTTTAGCTGCTTAATCCAATCTAAAACGGTTACTGATGCTCTTTTAGCATCTATTTTTATAGCCGCTAAATTAAAAATAATTACCTCTAAAAGTTCATACTTTTAGCGGTAATTGATTTGTGGCAATTAGAATGACTATAATATTCCTTTTGAAAACATATTAGCATGACCCTTTAACATCCATTTTAATGGTTGGTAAATTTAATAAAATTGCCGCTAAAACTCTTCTTTAACAACAATTATAATGGCGACAATATTCCCTATGGAAACATCATAATTTGCCCTTTTATCATCAATTTTATAACCGGTATATCCTGTGAAATTGGCACTAAAAGTCACAAGCTTTAATGACAACAGTTTAGCCACCATTAATAATAGCTACACACTCTTTTGAAATAAGATCTAAATAATAAAACATATTAATATTGATTCATAAAAATATAATGTATGTTATTAAATCTTAACAAACAAAAGGAAGTAGTAATCCAAATATTAATATCATAGTAACTTAAAAAATAAACTTATATTGTTTGAAGCAAATGGCTAACGTCATTATATAACAAATCCTAACGAATAAGTCTTCAAATAATTTCTGCAACATTTCATCTTATTGAAATCTTCCACTCGCTAATTATGGATCATCAGACTGTATGACCTGAAATTACAAAATAATTATGTAAAGGAGGTGAAATATAAGAGTCTTCAACTGGGATATTTATCGAGCAAAATTATTAAATTTATGTATCATGGCATACTTGTTTGATTTAGAAAGACAATGCTCGATATAATATATAAATTCAACTCTATGTGGGCAGCAAAATATAAATAGTTATATTCTATGTTATAAACGTACCTAAAGAATATTGTAAATCCTTTAAATTTGCCAGCATTTTTCCTTTACAGCAACACTTTCTCGTGGTGAAAAAAAAATAGCACACTTTCTCATAATTAACAGAAGAGCAACACTGAAGTGCTTAACCATATAACAAACACAAACTATAACAAAGATAGACCGTTGGCATATAGCTGAAGTTCTTAGCTTCACAATCACTAGTCTTTCAATGTTCTCAGCTTCATAAGCAGAATTTGAAGGGATTTATCAGAATTTTATTGACCTTCTTAAGGCTCAAATTGTGTTGTTATTCTCACTAAAATAAGGTCAAACTCACTTCTCCTAGAGAATTGTTGAAGATAGTAAGCAATTTACATCTAAGCTTGGGGAATATGTATTGCTACTACTTCTTTTCATGTAATTTCTATTGACCTATCTATAGAATCTCAACTATGGTCTCCTTGATTTCTCAGTTTTTCCTAAGGTCGCCATCTTAATTTTACATTTCATTCTTTTGTTTCCTTAAAGGGATCTTAATCATGTGATTCCAGATCTTCAGAAAAGGCAGAAATGCTTTTAAATGTTCTGGATGATGTTTCAACTAAATCATCTAATATGGACTATCAAGGCCACTGTAAGCCCCTAGTAAATTTGTTTGGATTAACTTATATACAATATGGACAATTCTATACCATAAAGTTTAGAAAGAAAAAAAAGAGTAAGGACCTATGGATATTGTTTCCATTTCTTGCAAGTCTAGATGAACTTGCGGAAAAACACATTTGATGCAGCTTCTATCAATGTTAGCATTATAAGGCCATGAATATAGTTTCAAGCTTCATGTGGCAAAAGTATATAGAGAGAACATTAAGAAGTTGGTTCTTTATTAAGAAAAGTGAGCTAGATCAGTGAGCTAAGAATTGATTCACAGTTCTCCCACGCCCCAAGAAGTAAACAAGGAAGGCTTTAATTTCAGAGTATGATACTGAACCTGCTGGTTTATGAATTATATAAAGCAGTCATGACAATTGTTAAAAATTCAAATTACTGATAAAATGAGAGATACACAAACTTTAACATAACAAAAAAGGCATACATAAGGGAATAAAGATATTACCACATTTCTTTATGTAACATTCTATGACAGAACACTACCATAGAACTATAGCCTTTAAAACATCAAAGCAACATATGCAGCGACTAACAAAAGAAAAGCAAGCAAATGCCTTCAGTAGACAACTAATAAACTTGCTAGATATATAAAGGCTACACACTTTATTTAATTCTGCAAACTCTAAAATTAATGTAATTCACTCACCCATAAGAGTAAGTACTCTGAATGCTAAATTTGTCGCTTCCTATCGTGAACTCCCCCTGAAGAATTGCACTGAAATGCTTGATTATTTCCACTAAAGCATGACCGGATTTTCTTTGCCAAAGCATGTATAATATCTTGAATTAACAAAACATGATTAGTTGAGTAGCTAAACTAATTATACTTTTAATCATCTATTATATACTATTTATCATTGTATTTTATACATGGCCGGATTTTTTTCTTCCAAGGGACTTTTTAATGTGAAAATCAGTGGAGTCCATCTCAGGTTATCCATCACTATGCCATCAAAAGACTCTACAGAAGTTAAAAATCCTATAAATCCAATTTACAAAAAAAAAGGTTACACCCCAAATAAAACAGAGATGGAAAAAGTCAACATTCCATTTGTTCTAAAACATTTCCATGAGAAATCCCTAATCCACAACCCTAACTCCTTTTTAGAACTCAGGTAACTGAAGATTTTTCGCAAATTTTTCAATGTAGTCAAATATAGTCAAATTGTGTGATATTCCTCTAAATAAGTAAAGGACATGAATAGAATGCAATGAAGATAGAAAATTAACATAACACACCCCCAATTATTTTGAGATTGAGGAATAGTTAATGATTTTAGAAATTATCATGAAATAAAATATAGGAACAAGTTAAAAACAATATCAAATATACTTCAATCAGAAGTACGTACCCATCCGAATGAATATTACCCTTGACAGGAAAATTAGCAGAAGAGTCTAACTTAGTAGCAGCAGACATAGACTTGGCAATCTTTTCTTGATCATTGACCAACTCCATAACAATATCAGGTTTAAAATCCACAAACCTCCCAAGTTTGAACTCAACATTTGTCCTTGAATTCCAAATACTACCACGCTTATGATACAAAGGAAGAATAAAAGAACTTTTGAAACTATTATTATCATAACGGTCCACATCTCTTAATTCAAAAAGGGTCTCTTGTGAAAGTGAAGACCAGAATGATAAAGCATTTATAGAGATACCCAAAAGTCCAAGAACGATTCTTGGCGAAAAAGGAACGATCTTTGTAAAGGAACATGAAAAAAGTCTGTGTTTGAATCTTGTTGTGGAACTGAAGATTGACTTTATTGTGGTAAATGATCAGAAGTCCGAGTTGCTATTATGGATGACTACGACATCTATGTCACAAATATTTAATATCCTCAGCCATAAAATACTGCATAGCGCATCACCCTAATCTTGGAACAAAGATGCAGGCGCCATGATTTATTTCTTTAAGCAAACAGAATATTCAAAATGATTTGAAATAGTAACTATTTAAGTGAAATTATTTTCATGCACTTAAATGGACATTGCTTAGATCTAAAAAAGATAATATTGAAGAATAAAAGAACAACTAAATAAATAACACACTTGTCAGGTGCAATTTCCGTCATGTGATAACTGAAGCATTTTGTGCATAGTATTAAAACTTCAAAACTAAAAATAACTATACCGTTCCAAGTTATATCTAAAAAACAAGGGCCTAATTTTGAGATCACCAACTCTTTGAAATAATACTTTCCACGAGCAATAGCTGTGACGACCCGGCCAGTCGTCTCATGGGTTACCGCTCCATTTCCCCCATTTTAGCTTCTTTATGCTTCGTTATCCGTGTTTTTGTGGTATCGGGTTGGTCGGATCGAGTCCGGAATGAGTTTGGTGAAGTTTGAGACACTTAGTCTCTTTTAAGAAGGCTTAAGTTGGAAAAGTTAACTGGATGTTGACTTATGTGTTAGAAGGCTCGGAAGTGAGTTTCGATGGTTCGGTTAGCTTCGGGAGGTGATTTGGGACTTATGAGTGCGATCGGAATGGGTTTTGGAGTTGTAGAGAATATTTAGGCTTAAATTGGCGAAGTTGATATTTTGGCGGTTCCGGTTGATATGCGAGATTTTAATATAGGGGTTGGAATATAATTTCGAGAGTGACAATAGCTTTGTTGTGTCATTTGGGATGTGTGTGCAAAATTTTAGGTCATTCGGACGAGATTTGATAAACTTTTTGATCGAAAGCATAATTTAAGAGTTCTTGGAGTTCTTAGGCTTGAATCCTATGTTAAATTGGTGATTGATGTTGTTGTGAGCGTCTAAAGTTTTGAACAAGTTTGAACGATGTCATGGGATATGTTGGTACAATTGGTTTGAAGTTCCGGGAGTTCCGGGTAGGTTCCGGGATATTTTAGGCCGAAAATCATAGCTGTAGCAGGTCTAGAAGGGTTGCAGGCCTCGGAACCCACCAACGCGGTCCGCAAAAAAAGGAGTGCGGTCGCGGTAAGTGTTGTGCGTATCGCACCAAAATGCAGTGCGGCCGCGGTGGGGGACATTTCACTAGTTCTAATTCGGAAGCTCATATCTTTTTATTTACAAAGAATTTTGAGATAATTCAAAAACAAAAGTTGTAGCCCTTCGTGTCTAGTTTCCAGAAAGATAAAGATATCACAATTTGAAAATCTGTAGCGAAAGTAATGGCTAAAATACTAAAGCCTGTCGCTGCAGAGGAAAGCCTGTGTTGCCGCGGTCGTTTTTGTGCGGACCGCGGTCGATTTTGTGCAGTCCGTGGAGGTGAAAAGTTGTGGGGTACTCTATAAATACGAGATTTTGGGTTTTATTTGATATTTTGACCTACATAGCTCAGTGTTTGGCGATATTTCGAAGGTTTTTCAAGAAATCTATCGGTGTAGGTGATTCTAACTCAGATTGGCTAGAGTACATGAATCTATCATTAAATTTATCATTCAATTCGTGATTTGGGATGGAATTTGGGGAGAAAATTGTGAAATCTTTCAAAAATGTAAAATGATGATTTGAAGGACCAAATGATATCGGAATTGGATAATTTTCGTATGGTTAGACTCGTGAGAGTATAAGGATTCTAGTTTTGGGAATTTTGTCAAATTCCCAGATCTGGGCCAGGGGGTCGGGTTTGACCAAATTCTGGAATTTTGTGGTAATTTGATTGTTTTCGCTTGGGCTTTGTTCCCTTGGCATATTGTGACGTATTCGTTCTGATTCTGGATAGATTCGACGCGCATGGAGGCCGATTCAAGGGGCAAAGGCGTCACGAGTTAGAGATTTAGCCGGTTCGAGGTGAGTAATAATTGTAAATGATGCTGTGAGGGTTTGAAACCCCGGATTGCACATCGTAGTGCTATTTTGTGGTGAGGCACACTCTTGATAACGAGCATGGGGTCGTGTACTATTGGGGATTGTGACTTGGTCCATCCCGACTGATGATTTTACTGCGTATTTGACTGAAACTTATATGTTATCATCATGATTTGGGTTGATTGCCATATTCGGGCTTCGTACCAACTATTTGAACCCTTCGGGGATTTTTATTACTATTTTCTCATTGTTTTGACTTATTAATAGAACTTAGTCATGTTATTTTCCACTTTTTTACTACTCAGCCATTTTTACTCCGTTTTGAGACTTAAATGATATTTTAAATGATATTTTGGGCTGAGAAATACTGTTTTACTAATGCCCGAGGGGATTGTGAGTATTTTTGACTGAGGAAGGCCGAGGGCCTAGTTGTGAGGAAACACTGATACTGATTTGAGGCCGAGGACCTGAGATATATACGCCACGAGGTGGCTTGTTGATATTGTTTATGAGGCCGAGGGCTTGAGATATATATGCCACGAGGTGGCTTTACTGTTATGAGGTCGAGGGCCTAGATTTGATGCCACGAGATGGCTTGATATTGCGCTTGGGCCGTAAGGGGACCCTCCCGGAGTCTGTACACCCCCAGTGAGCGCGGGTACCCATTGTGATTGGAGATTGAGCCCGAGAGGCTGGCACTGTTTAAAAGGGATTTTACTCGATTCTTCACTGTCTACTGGTTTTAAGTGATTTTTACTGCTTCAGTATAGAATGTCTTGTGTTTTACGTGTTTTCTTACTTTCAGTCATTATTTATATTTATTACTCACTGAGTTAGAGTACTCACTTTACTCTCTGCACCGTGTGTGCAGATTCAGGCGTAGCAGGTCCCGCTCCTTAGTGCTGATCCTTCCAGTCCAGGCAATGTTTCGGAGATTACGAGGTAGTTGTTGGCATCCGCAACCCCTGTGTCTCCCTTATCTTATTATTTCTAAGTTCTTCAAACAGTTGTACCAGATATTGTATTTAGTAGACTCGTATCAGGATCCTTAGTTGCTCATGACTTGTGACACCCCGGTTAGGGCTGTGTCGGGTTGGAAATTCTGCTTTGTTATCTCTATTTCCGCTGATTGTGCTATTAAATCATGTTTGAACTGTTCTTATGCTATTTAACTGCTTAAAAGGACAAAATATGTTAGACTGGCTGGCCTTGTCTTCAAGAGATGTGTCATCACGACCGGGTTCGGGGTTAGGGTCGTGACAAGTTGGTATCAGAGCTTAGGTTACATAGGTCTCACGAGTCATGAGTAGGTTTAGTAGAGTCTCGCGGATCGGTACGGAGACGTCTGTATTTATCCTCGAGAAGCTGCAGAACCTTTAGGAAAAACTTTATATTCTTGAAATTCTCTTTGTGCGAACTTGTTGGTTCGAGTACTAAACTTTTATCATTCCATTCTCTCACAGATGGTGAGGACGCGAGCTACCGGACGAGGTGGGCTATCACTAGTGCCACCAGCTGAGGCCACTAGAGGCCGCGGATGCGGTCGTGGCCGTGGCAGAGGTAGAGCGGCGATGGCAGCACCTGTTGATCCACCAGCTGCCCCAGTTCAGGATCAGGCTCCAGCAGCACCAATTCAGGCACCGGTTATGCCCATTGTGATCCCGGGTCTACAGGAGGCCTTGGCACAGATCTTATCAGTTTGCACTAGCCTGACTCAAGCAGTTTCAACCACCACAACAGTAGCTACTTCACAGGCCGAGGAGGCAATCAGACCCCCACTACTCGCACACCTGAGCAGGTAGTGCAGGGACTTCAGATGCAGGGGGCACCTCCAGCCCAGCCGGTTGCACCAGCTAAGGAGTTTGTTGTACCAACTATGCCGGATAATGAGCAACGTAATCTTGAGATGTTTGGCAGACTCCAGCCTCCGACATTTAGCGGAGTAGAGGGCGAGGATGCCTAGGGTTTCTTGGATAAGTGCTAGCGGATGCTCC